ATGTGTATTTTACCATACCCTAAATAGCCTTAAGTGTAATCGTTATCTCAATCTTTGCCTATTTGATGAGTACCAATAATACTTTAGTATTGTTTTTGTATTTTAATCTCTCATAAAGCTGAGTATTTTTGGATGTATGAATTGCCTTTTGCCCACTTGCTTTGTCCATTTTTTTCTATTGAGAAGCTAATTTTAAAAAACAATCTGGAAAGAAATATTTCTATACTAAAGATATTAACCTCTCGTCTAGTACATATTTTAATTAGCTTGCTATTTGCTTTTTGAATGGTGTTTTAACAATTTTTTTTCCATTTAAAAATGATGAATGGTTATTGAATTTTACCAAATGTCTTATCTGTACCTATTGATATGTTTTCTTATTTTTAAATTTAAAGATGTGGGATATTGCAGCAATAACAATAAAACAACGTGTCAGACTACTCTTGTATTCCATAAACTACTTTGACATGCTATAATTTTGTTCATATTTGACAGTCATTTGAAAATGACTGGAGAACAAACCATCTCAAGTTATAAAAGATGCCAATCGTTTCCTGCCTCTGGGTCACTTCCACAGCTGAATAAGTGGCCCTGCCTCCCCAGCTCCAAGCCTCTGGTGAGGGCACTACAATTGGACACTTGACCTGAGGGTCCCCTCAGTAGACTCACCAGTGGCCAGGCTGGCATGACAGTGAAAGAGAACCAAATGGGTTTCCCTCTTGAGGACGTGGGACATTGAGTCAGTCTGTGGTGCGTGCTGGAGCTGAGAGTTGAAGCCAGAAAGATGGGGTTGCAGGTTGGGCGGGCGGGTGCAAGATGAAGGAGCAGGTATGCAAGAAGCCCTGTGGTTTCTGAGAGGTGGAAGATGCTCAGAGGGTTCCTGAAGGCTTTGGAGTTTCTCAGGTTTCCAGTGATTTTCAGATGCGCCCTTTGTCCTTGGATTCTGTGAGAGCCCCCAGGATTCTTTCCATCACATGACTTCCTTTTGATTTTTCTTCCTTATTTAAAGTAGTTGGAGTAGGTTTCTGATTATGCAACCAAAAAGCCTTCGTGGGACACTCATACACCTTCCTATCCACTCCACTGCGTAAACTGTGTGGTTATGTGCTACCAAAATGCCAGGAGGTCACTGGCTTCCTACTGAAAAACAAAAGAGTTGAACTCAGCATTGTATGATCCTGAAGTTTCTCCCTCAGCGCTCTAGTTCTATGAGTCTTTGGAATTAATGGAGCTTTTTATTGGGACATTTTCTTAACCAAGCTTGATGGAACTCTAGAGGACAAGATTCAGCCCGAAGGGA